AAATAATCACTGTTTTATTTCTTATCCATTTGCGAGAGTGCGTCCCCAACAGTTAATTATCCCACAACCTGTTCTTCAAAGAGCTTACAAAACACAGTGCATTGCTGGAATTTCAACAAATGAAGTTATTAAAAGGACAAATTAATGATAACCATAAAATGAAATGCAATTACCACTTTAAAAGCAGGACCTACTTATTCTGCAGAGATGTCTCTGCCATTATTTAAGAGGACTTCTTCTACCACCTGGATGAGGAGCATGAATGCCAACTTCATTATTCCCCCCACTCAGCCTCGCTGCTTGTTTATATCCGGAAGGCTTTGTTTCTACCTTTTTTCTCTCTGCACAGCCCCCACCCTCAATAATTCTTCTCCTTCTCTTACATAAGGACTGCCCTCTTTTGTCAGGGACCAGTAAGAGGTAGGAATAAAAGGAGTGAGTGGGTGAGGAAGAGGGACTGATAGAGGATGGGATCCGAGGAAGAGGAGAAAATATATGGGGGTAGAAGAGAGGACTGTGGGTAAACTGCACACGTCAGAAAGACCTGCATGTCCCCACCACCCGCTCACCTCGCTGGCCTTCTCCGCCCACACAGTGCATCACTCTCATGTATCACTCTTCTCTCCATCTCTAGATCTATGATAGAAAAGTTGAAATATCTTGACTAAGTTTTCACCATTCAACCAGCCAACACTTTTAACTGTAAATATTTAAAGGTGCCTGAAACTATGTTTGCGTACAGTGTACTAACAAGTTGAGTATGTGACACATGGTAGTCGAGTCATTGGCGTAACGTCATCTTTTAGTGAGGCATTTGAGTAACGCACATAACACTAGTTTGGTGTCTTGATGTTTTTGTCTTCTTCTAGTGTATAATTATTAGTTTTATTGTTATCACATAAGGGCATACTTTATTATATGACCATATCAAATGTGTCACAATTGTGGCAGGTGATTTGTTTAAATTCCAGCCTCTTTACCAATCCTGATAAAAATGCGATATCTAATATGAAAGAGACATCAGGGAGCGCTAAGACACAGGAAGGATAATGGTAATAGGTCCCATTAAAACTGTTTAAATTATAGTTTAGACACACCGTCCCACTTTAGTCACATGACAGGCTTCTAAAAACAGAGATAATGGGTTACTGCAGGGGCAGAAATGAGCTGAGTATCATCGTAATCCAATTGATTAATGTTCGTTTTCAGGACTGACAAGAGATCACAAAGTAAGGGCTTACACTAAAGCCGTGTGTTCCTGTGTGCAGTTAAGGAGGCAAACATAACAACCTTAGTCTAAATGGATGTCCAATTGTCATTTTCAGGTAATATATAGTATTGGAAAAATAAATATTAATTAAGTCTATGGGGTTACATTGCGATGGTTATTCATTTTAAGAAACCTCCAGGTACTGGATGCCATATTTTCCGACGAGTCATACAATAGTTTATAGGGATCAGACACTTGGTGCAGATACTAACCTAATTGAGTGTTGGCTACTCACCAATCCACATAAAATATACTGTCTTTGATAATGTCATTATACAATTCAGGTTTTCTGTATTGCTTGCCTCATGCCTAAAATATATTCCTGTTTATTCCACACATTGAGGAATAAACATTTTTAAAAGAGGGAGCACTGGTATCAGATTACTGTTGGCGACATTGAGGTATTGTTAACAGAACAGAACATGTTGGATAGGTGCAGCCGTACTTTATACTGTAGTGGCATTTTGTTTTAAAGGTAGGGTAGGTAATTCACTTCAGAAACACTTTTTGTTATATTCCATGGAAGGCTCTTAACATCCTGATAGCAATGAATACATGAAATGCCTTGACAATAAATATATACAAATATTTCTTCTGTGGAAGCCGTGGCGCTGTAAAAAGCACGACCAATAACTGGAAAATAACTGGATGGCCTACCTGCCTGTCAGCCTTCCATCTCGTGCACAAACTTATCTCGTGCCCTCATTGGTCATGTGCGCGTTCGTGTGTGTTGGAGGAGGGGCTCTGTAAGGAAGTCTGAAGGAAGGGGCCGATTTTTTTCTGTTGTGTACTTTCAAATTCTAACTTACTCGAGCTGGTCTCTCCATTCTTACCTACCCTACCTTAACCTCAGGACTTTGGCACAGGTTGAGATTTTAATACTGCATAAAAATACTCCATTTAGACATCTACTCAAGATGATAGACACACTGCAATCCATGCATTTACCTGAATGACCTTTGTTGCTTTTTAAATATCTCAGGCCATGTCATGAAGTTGGACAAACATACAAACACATGCTTCATCAATGTTATATTAATGCGGCACCGACTATGAAACATCTGGTGACCCCGGTGTAAACACAGTTAGAAAGAAATAGCAACAGCAGGATGAGGAACAGAGAGCAGGGGAGAGCTGCTGAGCTAGATGCAAATGCCCCTCTTTGAATCCCAAATGATCAGCCATCATCACGACTTGTAAATAAACAGGCGCAATATATACACCCCACATCCCATGCCAACACACTCACATCTTTAAATACCCCAGCTCTGACGACTGAGATAGTACTGCTCATCAAATTTGTGCATGAGCAAGCCCAGGCTAAATTTGTAGCCAGGGAACTTACGCAATCCTCCCTGGTCTCCCTCCTGTGTCTATACAATGGCTGAAAACACACAGAACTCAAAGCATCCCAGCCCTCCTCAGATCCCACCCCCACTCTACAACTCCGCCACTATTCCTGTACCAGCACAGGCCGCCACAGCACAGAAATACCAGCACCTCCAAGAACAGACGCAAAGCCTGTCAGAGCATCATCACATCCCACAGGACAGCTTGGGGAGGGGGGAGGGAGAGGAAGAGCAGGTGGAAGGATGAGCATCGCCGCTGTCGAGAGACCAGAATCAACAGAGAGGAAAGAAAAAGTAAACACTCTGTCTGTGAGGGAGAGGACACAGTTTACAGTTATATCCTGACAGCTCAGACACTGTCTCTCTTTCTGTTGATCTGACTGATGGGTGTTTTTGATATGATAACGTTTATGAGAACCAGGAGTCATAACAACTGCTTTATTTGGAGTCATCCTTAAATACCTCAAATACCCCTGTGCACTACATAGAAATTAAAGCATTACATTAGAGCCGATTTATAAACATTTAAAGCCAAAAATATGACATGACAGTAATGTCCTAACGCCCATACCCAATATATGTAAGTTGTGTTCAGTGTGCATGGAGAAAGCTCACATGGAAAAAAACATGGACCCTTTTAGTCATATTTCTAACACATAGTGATACACGTCAGCCTATTGTGGACAAAAAAAGTATTACGACAACACACATGTTCTCACAAAAAAGTTCAATGATCCTAGCAAAACTTTTTTACACCGATTGTACCACACTCATCGTGATTCCTAACCTTGGGGACAAAACTATTTAGATCAGACCTGCACTCATCGACCACCAGGATTATTTGTTTTTCTCACTTTTTTTACGCCTCTCGGGGCTTCCCTAATTATCTGCCGGGAACTTCAATAAATAATGTTTTGTAAGGGATGACAGTCATTTTGGTTGTCCAAATGTTTGAAAAAATGTTAGTGTTATAGTTAGTTAATTTGTGTTTGGATTCAAAGGTTTTAGAGAGGGGTAATTAATAACATAATATGTTTAGCCATGTTAGCGGAGTGACTGCATGGTCTACGGTTTGTTCCAAACTGAAATACCTCAACAACTATTCGATGAATTGGTGTGATTTAAAAAATATATTTTATTCATGGTTCAAAGAGGATGGATCCAACACCTCTTTGTGATCCGATACTTCTCGTGGTATTTCATAACATATCCCAACAACTTTTGAATTGCACATTCAAGCTTATGAGGATGAATTGTTATAACTTTGGGGATCTTGTGACGTTTCATTATTTCAGGGTTTGTCCAATAGTTTGGGTTATGACAAAATGGCGACCTGCAAAACGAATGATATTCCCACCAGCCTGTGCTTTGTTTTTAACGTACATTTTACTTGACCTGTTATCAGTATTTAGTTTGAAACTCTGCAGTGCCCAAGTACAGCCAAGCACAGCCTCTGGCCTTACTGTAGCTAGTTTATTAGCTTTTCTTAAAACAGAATGACTGAAAGAACACGTGCATGAGTCCTGTGAGGCCTGCAGATGTTTTTAAAAGCCTTATTGAGGCTACACCTATCAATGGCTGGGTAAATGTAAAGCTGACACAAAAGCAGGAGGAAGCACAGGGTTTGGAAACATTTCAATCAAATGATAAAGCAGGTAGAGTATGGAGAGGAATCTATTGGTCCTTCCTGTCGTCCTCTCACAGTGTAGATGGCCGGTTGCTGAGGATAACCTGTGTGCTCACCTAATGATGAACAGTGAGGGGTGTGTGAGCAAAGGTGCTATAATTAGCTGCATGTGTAAAAATGACATTTCTCTGTGTGTTTGTGCATGCGAGTAGCTGTGTGTGTGTAACGGAGAGGAGGAGGAGGCAGATTGTGAGACTCTGACAGTTACTAGAGGGAACATGAGGGGGGAGAAATAGGGAGGGATGGATAGAGGGAGTGAGAGGAGGAGGCGAGTGCGTGTTGACGCTGTACGTGGCGTCAGCGCGATAAGAATAGAGATTGTGCGTGTTACGCTGCTGAGACATAAACCTCACACCCTCAGTGGGGCAGGCAGTGCTGACTGTGTGTGTGTGTGTGTGTGTGTGTGTGTGTGTGTGTGTGTGTGTGTGTGTGTGTGTGTGTGTGTTCACAGATATTACCCTTGCTATGTTTATGTGTGCATGGATGAGTAAACTGTTGGTCTTGCAGTGATTTTTTATCTTCTTGTATTTTTACAGTTAATACTTTCTTTCATCTTTAGTCATTAGAAACACATTTACTTTTCATCAAATTTCTGAAAATCAACTTGATAATAACTTTGAGAAAAGGGATAATAACATGTAACAATATTTAGGTTTGGAAACGATTAGCATATAAAAGACACAAGGAATAAGGACACCTTTAAACACATCTTTAATGATGATATCGATTTCATTACAATGTGAAGTAATATAATTGTATTACATAACAATTAAATGATACTCATGCATACTCTGCATATTATATTGTATACATTGTGTTTATGTGTATGTGTAAGGGCATCTTCCTCGTACATTTTGTATACTTTATATATTAAAGTTGTTATATTATTGATTAATATTCAATTATTATACCTCCTATTTATCCAAATCCTTACCTTTCCTTTGTGGGTAGTGTTCTGGGCAGCAACTGCATTTGAATGTGCAATCCTGTATTGTATAATGACAATGAAGCTGACCTTTAACCTATATCAGGCCATATCCATAAGTATAACGAAAGGTACATGAATCATAAAGAATAAAACAATGGCTGAGCAACGCGTGAACTAAGCCACCGCTGTTGCTTTGGAATAAGGTTTTAAATACACTTTATATTTGTCTTCGTTGTTTAATAATCAACGGCATGCTGTGTTCAGCTGGGTGTAAGATAGAGACCCTCATCACAAAGCGTCTTCACACTGTCAGGAACTGAAGCAGCCACTGTGGAGGAACAGCAGAGAGCAGAAACAATAAGAAACGTGTTCAGGTCACCATGAACACACAACACAGCATTTGGCAGATACTCACAGAGTTGATACCTCTGTCTTTCACCTCCTGACTGGTTTCTGATTCATACAGCGCTGAGGAGAAGAGGGAGGAAATGACTGTATTCAGTATCACTGCAACAATGAATAACTTCTGCATCTGGTTTAGATCCTGTCGAGAAATCTGAATTTATTTAGTAATAGCCCTAATATGAATAAAACGTATAATGTAAACCAAAACATGAAAATATTTCACTCAAATGTTCAATTTAACTTGGCCAAAGGTTACACATCTTAATCATAACAAGGGAGACATGATAAGTATATTTCAATTAGGTAAAGGAATAATACAACAAAGAAAAAGTCTGAGTAAGTAAAAATTGCAAAGTACACATGTATTATCAGCAAAATATACTTAATGTATCAAATAAAAAGAATTATTTTTGCATCAACATTTTACTGTGACTGATATACTGCTTAAGTGTCCTTGTTAGATTTTTTAGGGTTAAGTGCAGATGGGTCAAAAATAAAATACCACTGTAGAGCTTACTGTGTGTGTGTGTGTGTGTGTGTGTGTGTGTGTGTGTGTGTGTGTGTGTGTGTGTGTGTGTGTGTGTGTGTGTGTGTGTGTGTGTGTGTGTGTGTGTGTCTTACCAAAAAGCTTCTGCATCCTGGTGACACATGACACATAGCTGTGGAAGGGCATGTGAAGTTCTCCTGATGCAAAGCGCTCAGACAGCAGCTCAACCACCTTGCTATCACACTGCATTCCTGAGAAACAGAGAAGTGAACAACGGTGTGAAAACCAAACAACCACCACAATAGGTGCACAGTGTGGCGTGTGTGTGTAATTGTGTATGTGTTTGTGTTTCTGTTGTGTGCCTACCAACAGCTTGCAGCGCTGTGCTGAGTTCAAAGGGGCTCATGGTCCCAGAAGAGTCCTCATCAAACTGGAAAAAGATGGACTGAAAAAGAAAGCAGCATCAGAATAAGCAATGACGTCACAACCCAATTTTTAATACACACTGACACACAAACACACACACCTGCATATGTCGCAGACTGGACAGCAGGGTTTCTGTTTGTTTACGGGTGAGACTGGAGCGCCCTTTAGTCTGTCAGCAGAGTTAAGGAAAGAAGACTGAAAAGGTAAAGTTATGAGGAATGTTAATAAAGTTTTGAATGATACCAGAGATCAATTAAGTTAATAACTCAAGAAAAACCCGTTATTTCTGTAGGACAGAGTAAACTAGACATACATGCAGAGCAGTCAAAGTCTAACAAGCTTAACAAGCGTTCTGAACTACAAGGAGACTGGATTTTGAGTTATATTAAAGAATATACTGAGGACAAAAGGATACATCCTCTCCAAAGATGAGCTGTCGGCATGTCTCCAGTGGCAGATGGTAATCTTTCTCAAGAGCTGTGATTACAGGAAGAAAGGCGCAGATTGATGAACTGAACGAAAACAATGGTTTTAATTGAATTAAGATGGGGAAAGGTGAAGGCAAGGACAAGTTTAATCACTTTTATTACTTATTACTTTATTGCCAAACTCGATGTCCTCTGACTGCAGCTACATGAGTTTCTGTCTAGACTGGTGGCGACCTCTGAGGCTCCACTAGGCCAACTTTTAAGAGAAAGCTTTACTACTTTGCTCCCATCTAGTGGCCATTACGGGTATTAGATAGTCAAATACCACTTTTTGGGAAGCTTTGTGTTATTTTCAGATGCAGCTAAAACATGTGAAACCTAATATATTTAAGATGTTTTACCTGTGTTGAACAGCTTCATGAGCTCCTTGGCATTCAGTCTGTCATCCTGTCGGGGGAGACAAAAGCAATACCATGAGCAAAGGCCTCAAATTCACACTTTTATAAAAAACGAATAAAGTGAGGATGACTTCTTACAGGGCCGGCATCCTCATCAAAAGTTTTCAGAACTTTCAATTGATCCTCTGGAGAGACCGGGGTAGCCATTACCTGTTTGGCACAAACACAGAACAAACGTAAACATATAATAATCTTTTAGTCAGCTGCAGATGGGTGACATGTGTGGAGTGGATGAGACAGATAAACTCACCGGGAGGAACCCAGAGGAGCAAGTGAAGTCCTGAGTCCTGAAACAAAAAGTCCACAACAGATTGTCTCTTTCATTAATTAATGTTATACAATTAGAAATAATGTATTATAATAAGTTGATTCACTAATGCATGCTGGCTCGATTTAGACTTCAAAATTATTTTTATTATCTTCCTATTAAAATTATTTAAAGAATCTGAAACTCAGGGGTATCTCCTGTGAAAGTTAACATACCTTGGAAATAATCAAGTAGGGGAAACACAACTCAGCTTAAATGTACCTTACTTGCTATGTTTCTTAGAAACCTAGAAATAATTAATAAAGTGGTCTGCCAATTAATAAGAAAAAAAAACATTAATTTCCACTCCAGGAAGCTGAAGAGGGTGATTATAGTTATAATGAGTACTAGCGCTCAGCTGTGTAATTGACTGTTGTTTCTGACAGAAGCCATGATGAATCAGCCTATTGCTATTAAGACTAAATGCAATTTTCTAAATACACAGTAGCTTAATGTTGTATGTTCGAGTGTAGGTACAGGGGAGTTTGGGTGACTATGATTGGGCCTTTGAGAGTGGAGGAATAATAAATTCAGCAAATAAGTCTTCTTTTGATTTTTGTTCCATGTTTTAAGCCCCCAATGCTAAACCCCTTCCATCTTACCCCAAAGTGTTTCCGGTCTTGGCAAAAATGCGGACATAGAACTCTCCGGGCTGGTTGGGTCGGTAGGTAGACGGCACGATGATGTAGTTCCCCGGGTCCAGATGCATCTTCCTCCACGTTCCCCTGCGGGACGTCATAGATAATGAGTTACATTTATACATTTACACCATTACGGCCATATACAACCATAAGTACTTTTGGATACATTTTATGGATTGACATTGTTGTTTTATCTGTATGTCCCTCACTTGGTTATTGGCGGCCCTGGCTAAATTATTATAATTTTTCTTTGGATGAGAAAGTATTTTATTTTTTGCAAAAGGTTGGAAAACTACTACTTTTGAGGAACCGATTTGTTACATTGAGAAAAACATTTGAAGGGATTACTCTTGATTGACGGCACATTAATCACAATAAGCAACATTTACAGTGGCCTATAGTACTAAGTGAACAAAATGCTGATTTTATCAAAAGGTTATTGAAGAATTACAAATGAACAGTCATTATTCTTCATGATGCTGTTTTACCTCTGAGCCATATATTTTCCAGAGCGACCCACGGGGCGAGTGGTCATGAAGAAGTGGCGGCTCAAACACGCACCCTGGAGCTGTATGAAGAAAGATATTACAAGACCTTTATACATTATTACTGAGAATATTGGATTATTGTTATTATTTCAAGCAGATAATGATTATTTCTCCATTGGCCATAAACCACTTACCTCAGTTGGAACCTGCAAATGAAAGAAACAAAAAGACAGATGTTAGTTTATTCAGGAAACAATATTAATTCAATAAATACATAAAACTCATGTGACCTGATAGATGTGGAAAGCAATGTGGAGGAAGTTGAGTTTATTCTTCTGCCTGCGGTCTTTCTGCAGCATCTCCACCAGCACGGTGCACTTTTTTGCTTTCTGCTTCTGTTTCTCTGCTCTCTGCTTCTCCTCTGCGGTCATCGGCTCATCATCGTCGTCATCTTCGTCATCATCATCATCATCCTCCAACTGTGGCTGGTCCTGCTCCGTCAGAACCAACTGGTACTGAGGATTTTTCCAGAAGGATCCTGAGGGAATAAAAGTTTGATGAATAAAAAAAAAAGATCTATGGAGCTTTAATGTATGTAAATGTATAGACTTTAACATACGGTTGTATCTGCGGCTGCCACCAGCAGTACTTCCCGTTACCCAGAATCCTTCATGTTCAGTGATGTTCCAGATAGACGGGGAGGCAGGAGAGGAAGGGGAGGCTGTGATTCCCTCCTCAAGATTGTCAGGATTCAGACTGCAGAGCTCCACGATGTCAAACTGGTTGTGGAAGTCCTCGACACTGATCCTGATAGAGTGGAAGATTTACATCAGAGAGCTTATAGTTTTCAGAGCCAGTATTCACTCAATTTCTTTAGATAAGTACAATTTCAAAGTACTTACTTTACTTGAGTAATAGATTAGTTAGAAAATGCATACTCACAAAGCTGAAAACTATTTTTTAGAGATACGTGTTCTCATCTGACAGCTCCACAACCAACACATGATGATCTTACATGATGCATATATGTAGATTACACTACAGCAGTTAATTAAGCAGTGGAAATTAAATAAGAAAATACCAATGGACACCAGTAATATGCAGTTTACTCGTTGATGCAACAGTTAATTTAATCAAGACACATACAAATACTGAAAGTAATCATTTCCCTTTTACTTAGGAAAGGCTTTTAACGCAGGACTTATACTTGCAGTGGAGTATTTTCACAGTGTGGTTTTAGTGTTTAAGTAGAGGAGGAGGATTATTAAGTACCTCCACTTACCAGAACTCTCCATCTTCTTTCTTCTTCAGCTCAATCCTTTCTTTCTCCTCTTTGACCACGTCATCCCACTCCTTACTCCTGCAGCCACACAAAGAGAAAGTGAGTGGGTGAGCTCTTTCTTTACAAACGTTAAAAAACAAGAAGCTTACTCACTTGTCACTCCAGGGTCCGCGATACTCGATAAAACCCCAAGGGTTCCTCAGCCTCAGCAACGAAATCTCATTGGACGCTTTCATCACCTGTTGAGTGATGAGAGAAGAAACTCATTCTAAAATATTGTTTGGCGGTTCTCAGTGTGTTACTTGTAATAAGAGATGAGTCAAAGGTTGGCCAAAATATATCCACAAGGTCATGAGTAGCTTTTCTGGAGCATTTGATCGTATCACATGGTCGTCTACTGTCCAAAATCAAGAATGAGATTTACAATGTTTAAAGGGGCCCTGTTATGTGTTTTTGGGGGTTTCCCTTTCCTGTAGTGTGTTAAATCAACACATCCTCACTCCCAGGTCGGCCTATGTTGACGTTATGTCAAGTCCCCTGTGTCGGCTTTTTCCAACGCAAGGGGGCGGCCCTTCTATATAGCTCCCTAAACGTATGTTGTAGACCAGGGGTTCTGGCGACCCCCTGTCGACGGGGGGGTGCTAGTGAATTAATTTGTTTGTAAAGTTTGAGTAAAAGAGCCTCGTTGCGGGGAAATTATACAGATGGCTAGTCCGCCCCTGAAAATGTCTATGCAAACGTTATTATTAATAATAATAAAAAAATAAAAATTATAAAACAAATTAATCCATTTTTTTTTTAAATATATTTTTATTTTGTAATCATCTCTCGAACCCAACTTTGGGAACCCCTGTTGTAGACAACTTGAGATCGCGAGCGAATGCTACCCGCAGATCCATTCTCACAGCGTTTATCAAACTTTTTCTTACTCAATATCA